GGAGCTTGAGTTTTTTTGAGCATCACTTCCTGGCTCCTGTACAAATCCCTCAGCCTGCTAGCACAGATCCTTCATCCTGCTGGTACAGACTTTCTAGCTTCTACCACTGACCTTTGGGCCTTCCCAGTGCAGATCCGTGAAACAGTCCTGCATGAGACATTGTCGTGGGCTCTGGGCCTCCAGTTGGACTTGTGGAGGACACTGTTAAGGGCTCTAGGTCTTCAGCTGGACTCATGCAGGACATTAGTGTGGGATCCAGGCCCTAAGCTGGATTTTTCAGGTCTTTAGTGTGTGGACAGATTTCCTGAACTCTTTGTGTATGACTTTTTGGGTGACTATTATAAATAATCTTATAAAATATGTGTCCCGTATTGTGTTATTCCCCTTGTAAACCCTTACTACAAGTTTTTTTCCGGAGAACTTGAGCCAGGTGGCCCTCTATTGTAATTGGATGGTGTTCTGGCCTGGAGGGACAGACTATGAAGCACTTGACAAAGGAGATGCTCACCTGAAGGCTTTGGCTAGTTCAAAGTATGAGGAAACTAAAACCACAAACTTTGTGACAAAGGCCAGTGCACTGTGAACACTACAAAACCCTGACCCCTGAGGGCATATTTCTTGTTTCTAGCTCATGATCTTTTGTTTCAGTTGCCAATACCTTTCAGGCCCTATCAAGCTGATTTTACTTCCTGCCACTGGGTTTTAAGAGATTCTCATGTATATTTAATCAACAAATGCCCTCTTTTTGGGCTACACTGAGAGTTAAATAAATAAATGGAGAAAGGTCAGAATTTTTCTCTGCAGAAAAATTCCAAATAATAGATGTAGATATATCCCCTCCAGAGGTAAAACCTAACTACTTTCCCTTTAAGTGTGGGCTGGAATTAACGACTTGCTTCTAACAAGAAGAGTATGGAAAGAGAAAAAGAGCAACTTTATAGTGGACAAACCTGACACTTGGTCACTTTAACCAACTGACCAAGCTTCACATTGGTACATCGTGTAGCTACCATGTACTCTCCAATATAATGTGATGAAGGCACTTAGTTTCTGTTCACTTTTCCACAAAAATCTGTAACTCCAGAAAATAAAAGAGAAAAACATTGGAAAAGTCCCAATTGAGGGACATTCTATAAAATAACTGGCCCAATATTATTTAAAACAAGGCAAGACTCTAAGAAATTATTACAGATTGGGGGAAACTAACAAGAAATGTCAACTACAAGCAAAGTAATATCCCAAATTAGATTCTGGAACAGAAAGGGGCCACCCATGGAAAAGTTGATGAAATCCAAACAATGTGCAATTTAGGGGAGTGTTATATCAATGATGGTTTTCTTAATTTTGATAATGGCACTATGATTATATACAATGTTAACCTAGAGCAGTGACAGAAACCCTTTTAGAGCTTTCGGTGATGGGGACCCGCTGTACTTTGCAATGTTTTTGTCAGTCTAAATTTTTTAAAAGACTACCAAGAAGGTCAGTGAATCTCCAGAAGCACTAGAGAACTAGTGCTGGTGGCTACAAAGCCAATAACTGTTGATAAACTGACACTGCAAAACTGGTCCTACAAAGATTTTTATGGCCACCACTGGACACAAATATTGCAGGCTTCCCCACCACTACCCTGTACCATCTTTGTCACTGCTGCTTCTAGCACCAGATATAGCTTCTGCCACTTCCACTTGTCACCAAAATAGATTGGGTCCAGCTCCTGCTTCTTCTCATCACAGGCTTCTGATTTAGACAGCGTGTTCACACATTAGCTGCAGGGAGGTTGGAATGTGAGTGTCTGACATTTCAGTTTCTATCTCTGGATGCAGGCTCTGCCTCATAGAGAAGACTTCCCAGACATAGGAAGGTAGTTCTGACACTCAGTAGCCAAAGAGGAGGACAAATGTCCATTGTGGTAAGTGAGGCAACATCTAACTGGAGTAGTCAGCCAGGAGTTGTGTGAAGGAAGGAGGATGTAGATGGATTTATTTTGTGAAAGCAAATTCGAGGTAAAAATCACAACAGCATTTGACACTCAGTCCTGCAGGGAGGTTCGATTCTGATAGAAATGCGTTGTTCTCATGTAAACATGTTAAACGTGCAGGAAACACCATAAACAGAAAGCAACTTTATTTTTGTCCTCTACCGCCCCTATCCGTCAGCTCTGTACAGCTGTGTTTGCTGTTCTCAATCAGAAGCAAGAAGTCCTTATGAGTTTTCTGTCAATCTTGGGTAACATAGCTCTAGGGGCATTTCAAGGACTAAATAATTATTAACCTTAAAATGTCCAGCCTTGCGTAACAGTGAAAATTTCAAGTTTACATTTATGTTGAACTGTCTCTCCTTGTACAGTTTGGGCCTGAAGTCAAGGAAGGCAAAAGCCTCTTTTTCTTCATGTTTGTCTTTCCTCCTTTGGCTGATTGTGACTTCAGCTCCTCCAGGACTGATGCACAACGCGAGTAGGCTGGGAGCAAAACACTTCTTGATTGGTACTGCCAGAAGGGTCAGAGTTTGCAAACTCTCTTTGCAGATGTTTAAGGCTAATTTTTTTATAAACTCTAACATATTTCATCAGGTACACTGCAGAGCAGGTAATGCAAGTCTGGGTGGAGAAATGTAGAAGTTGGGGGACAAGCCACAGTAGGCCGCAGTAGGCCTTAATTCTTGCTGCATCATTGGATAAGTCATATAGCCCTCTGGGCATTTTAAGTGCAATCCCAAACCGTGTCCTAAGCTGTCTCTTGGTGTCTTTTTTTTATCCTATGCTCTCATATGTCCTGGCATGACCCTTTGATTCTTAAAGAATCATCAAAAAGTTTCTTGTGGGACAGCATCTTGCATTTTAACCCTGGGGAGTATCTAATAGTGTTTCACATACATTAACAAATGTTGTAGGTCTCTAATAGGCAATCTTTCCAAGTGTCTCTGAAAAACTCAATGGCACACTCAAGAAGTCATTTACCAAAGATCCCCGTCCTTCAGCAAGTGAAACAATGGGCTCCATGGCCACTTCAGCCTCGTATCTCTCCACACATGGGGCTGAATAAGATGCCTCTGAAAGGTGGAGAGAGGTAACCCAGTTCCAGTCTCAAGTTCAGGGAAATTCACCCCATACACACCATCACTTTTCCCTACAACCAGATGTGTCCATTTCAGCTCCATCAATGTAAGGAGCCAGAAAGTAAGGGCAGCTTTTGAATCACTCCCAGCTCACTTAATTAACACAAGATTATAAGGAAATGCATCCAGATGTTTGAGGAGGAGCCCCTAAAGGTCAGAAACTTCCAAGGCCTTCTGATAATGAAAATAACTGTGGGAAGTCAAGAGAAAATAAGAGACTTCCATTCTGAGCCCACCTGAGATGGAATATACCATCTTTTAAGCAAAATGCAGCTGCTCTTCTGATAGTAACCTCTGGTGTACACTTGTGAATTTACCACTCACTTGTTAAGAAACACTGAATTCATTATGATGAAGTTATTCAATTATACATCTGCCAACGGGAGAAGTCATTTCAGGCTCAATTTCCAGAACTTTGATTTTCAACAATGAATAAGGCTTTGCCAAATCTTACTTTATGCTTTTCCTGAGCCAGCACCAAATGGTAGACATTGTATCCTTTTTATTGAATTCATCTGCAAGTTAGTAGAATATTCCAAGGCCTCTGGAAGAAAACTCTCTAAATTCTATATTACTTGATTAATCACCGAGGTTTGACATCTGGATCTCACACAGTTCTTGCTCTAGCAGACACACTCACAAACAAGAATGTGAATTATCTTTAAAGTGCCAACAGACTAGTAATCCTACCTCCAGATATCTGATGGCTGAAGTAAAGAAGCCATCGTACTCATTGAGCCAAAGATGTCTGGCTCTTCCTCAAAGAACAGGCATCCTCTTTGCCAAGGAGGAGCAAAACCACTGACTGTAAGAAAATATTTGCTCAGCTTTCTCTTGTGTGTGCAGAGCCCAAAACACACTGCCATTCTATCTCCTCTGAGGGCTTGGATTAGAAGAGACCTAAGAACAATTCTAAGTCAAGCTAACTTGGGGTTAAAGTCATTCTTCCCCATTTCGAAAACAAAAATACTGAAAATACACACTTTACAATTCAGAATTCCAAAAACATTGGGGAGATGCACTTTTAGAGAAAGAGTATTTTTCAGTATCTATTGTCCATGGTCAGGATAGTGGTTTTCTCTCTAGGCCCAAATATCCTACACTGCCATTTACTGTAGATTGTGATATTCTTTTTCACAAAGACCAATTAAAATTAGATTGGTGGAGCATCATGTATAGGAATAGAAAACAGAGTTAGAAACAAACTATTTTCTGCATGAAACACATGAAAGGCATCAGGCTTTTGGGGCACTGACCACACCTATACCTAGCTAAATATCCCACCTCATTTTTCTCCTTATGTGTTCCACCTGAACACAAGCCAAAATCTTTTCCTTAAACAAAGAACATACAGAAATGAGTCTGTTGCAAAGTTTTGGTTTTTTCTATAACTTTTTGAAAAGAATGTTATGTATACCATTATCCAGAGCTTCAAACGTACTATGAAATTTTCACACCCTCTCCCCATTCTGTTTTTCAAACATAATTTTTGCCTAGATTCCAGTAATAAGTTTATTAGGCCTTCATTGGATCTACAAAAACCTCTTCATTATACCTTAAACTAAGGTATCTCAAGCTCACACTATTGACACTTGGGACCAGATAATCCATTGTTCTGAGGGACCGTCCTGTGCATTACAGGACACCTGGTAGCCTGCTTGGCCTCTACTCAATAGATGCCCACAATATACTCTCTTAGCAGTTTTTGGAACCAAGAAATCTCCAGCCATTGTCAAATGTCATCTGTGGAGCATATATCTCCCATCACAGTCCCCCCCCACTTCCACTACCACTCCTGGAACATTAGTTTCTGGCTTTAGGAGAATCATTGAAACATGAAAAGGAGACATCAAAAGTAGACAATAATTTGAAATATCAAAATAGACGTTTCCCAAGTATTTCAACACCCGAGGCATATTTTAATAGACCTTAAATTAATTAGCCTGTCTAATTGCTATTCCTTCATTTTTCCCTAATTACACAGAGGACTGATCCATTGGTGTCTGCTGTCATAGACTCCTCTTGGCCCTGGAAGAGATTATCACCCATAAGAATTCCATTTGCCTCTGCCATTGATTGGTTGAGGGATAGGAATCACATTGCCCAGTTCCAAACAATGAAAAACAGTGGAGGGAGAAATTAACTTTATAAAATAAAAGTATAGTCATAATAATGAAACAAGAGTCTCTCAAAGAAAAAGTCACTTTTGGCCTATCTTTCTTTCCTTCACTGCAATTTCTGCTTTGAACGTGGCTGTACTGTTTGGAGCTTTGTTGCCAATCACAACTCACATCACAGGGAGTTGAACAAAAGAATGCAGAGCTACAGCTCGAGGAAGTTTGTGAAGCAAGGAGAGCAAGGGTGTCGGTCTTTGCTGACAACCTTGAACTGCTCAACCAGCACTGGAACTCCCACCTTCACAATGCTCACTGAGATAATTCAACACTTTTATTGCCTAAACCAAAGACTGGCAAACTATAGTCCACAGGCCAAATTCAAGGAATAAAAATTGCTTTTACATTTTTAAAAGATTATTAAAGAAAATAAGAAGAATGAATAACAGAGACCCTAAGTGGCCCACAAAACTTAACATCTTTATCATGTTACTCTTTCCAGAAAAACTTTGCTAGTCCCTAACTTAAACCACTTATAGATGTCTTATGATTTGCAGCCCAAAGCTTTCTTAACGTTAAGTACTAATATCCTCATTTTATAATTACAGACACTGATGCTGGAATTGGTAATGCTGGGTGAAATGAGACAATTCAAATACAAATCGGGCTTTAATTCAATTTGTTGTAAAATAAAACCAAATTGAGACATCAAAAAGCATTTAACAAAAGTTCTATCATGTAATGTTTTAAATATTCTTGGTATGCCAAGTTTGATTTTACAAATCAGAATAAAGCTTCTTGATGAAACGCAATGTAGTGGTACCCTGGCTTATGTAATTAATTTGTTTTATGTTTTGGGGGAAGATGGCTGCGTTTGTGTTTGTGTGAGGAAGGTGCCCACGGCTGTGTTTGTCATCCAGTGTGGAGTTTGCAGAAGCAAAATTTTGCCAGATGCTTTGTTTGTGAACCAAACTGAGGCATTACTGTTTGTCCAGTGAATATCTTCCAGGACGAGCTAACTGTCCTGCTATCAAGAAGGCATTTCCTGTGTTGGAAACTAAACCTAGGGACTCTAAGGGAGAAAAGACATCACAGACAAACATTACATAAACGAACACACTGATGTGATAAATTTCCTCTCCTACTGCTGAGATAGTTTCTACTCTTCCTGCTGACTCACTCAGAAGTGAACTGTCAATAAAATATGTCTAAGCCCTTCCTTAATTCTATATCCCATGTAATTGCTGCTATTCACAGTGGGGCGAACATTCAGAAGCACCTTAGAAAGGGGTTTAAATATCAACAAAAATGTATGTACTGCAGAAGTGCAGTCCAGAAGAAGGCATTCATGGAAGAAGGCCGACTGTGGAAGGCTCACAAGAGCTATACAAAGGTTACAGTGAACACTGCCAACATCTAATCTGGAGCTATACCTGAGCACTGAGGGGCGACCATGGCCACCCTTTTTTTAAAAAATTCAACCAATACTTCTTTTTTATCGCCATTATTTCCCAGTGCCTATTCCAGCACTTATATAAAATAGGCAGGCAATAGAAGCACCAGCCCTCCATCTACACCCAGTACTGGTTGTGTTTCAGCATGGGGTTGGTTTGTCGGCAAAGCTTCACCATGTCGGGATCCAGGTTTACCCAGGTCTCCCAAGGAGCACATTTTCCTACTGGTTCAACCGTTGTGGGCAGCATTTCCTCACACTCTAGGGCCTTGAAAAGACTAGCAGGGGGGCTGCTGGAACTTTGGATAAGGGGCGTCACTGTGACAGATGGAATAGTTATGCTTCCTCCTGACTTACAACTTGGGGTTGTGGGTTCTAGGTTGCTGTGGGGGTTAATAAGTGGGTTTGGCTTTTCTTCTTTCCGGCCCAGCAGCCAGATACACAAAGTCACAGAAATTACTATCAGCAGGAGGAACACCACAGCCAAGGGTATGATGACCATCAGAGGGTAACTGCCCCCTCTAGGCTGAGTGGGTGCTCCAGGGCTGACTTTGGTGGCAGCTGGTGGCCACATGACCCCCATGGGAGAGATCGTGCCATCCACATCTGGCTCTGCACCACTGCGTTGTCCCCAGGAATCTGCCCCCTGCCATCTGGTCTGGGTCAGCCTCTCCTGGGTTTCTGTTTGTGTTGTGAATCCTGAAGAAACTACAGGCTGTTTCGGTGAGAAAACTGAGGTCACAAGGTGCTCTCCAGTAACTAAAGGAACATCTGGTGTGAAAGTTGGCAAAAGTAAGGGGTCAGGTGGCACTACGGTGAAGGGGAGACAACCTATCGCTGGCTGTACGTGCTCTGCCCTGAGCAGGAATGTGAAGGAGTCATTCAGCACATCAGTGCCAGTGAGATTCGCATGCACATCAAGCACCAACAGTCCCTGGTCAACATCCTTCTGAGTGAACCGCGTGGCGTCTTCCATCATGGTGCTGCGAACCACTCTTCGTACAAGTCTTCCGTGGACAGGGGGTTCTGTTACCTCAAATTTGGGATCACTGTTAGTCATATTAGCAAGTTCACTAGCATCAAGGTCCTTTCTTCTCAGCTGATGAGCCACACCACTGGTGACTTTCAGCTTAGACATAACCCGCAGCCGAGGCTGCACTCTGATGCCCAGTGTTTGCCCTGTCAGGTTGCTCTCTGATGTGAACAGCGAGAACTGCAGCTGGTCCTCTGAGGCTGTGAGGTTTGTCATATGGTAAGACAGTCTTCCTGAGTCCAAATCCTCTTGGCCAAAGCTGGTGACCACCTGGTTTCCCATCAGCAGGTGCCCATGTTGGAGGGGCCTTGTAATCCTGTACATGATCTGGGGGCTCCTTCCGTTAGTAATTGCTGACAGGTGTGCATTGGTGATGGAGACAGTTGTCTGGCCTTGTGGGAAACGTAGGTCAGTGAGGTTCACAAGGGTGATGGAGATGGGGATGACATCCAGGTGAAAGAGCTTGTAGAGAGGACGGTGTTTGCCATCAGTCACACTGAAGTAAAACATGCCAGAGGATGGACTTCCGTCTTGTATGAACCACACCTGACAGTTATCAATGTCAGCTTGTGTAAATTGGTGACAAGGTACAGGTGAATGGTTAGCCATTGCCAAAAAGCCATTACCAGGACTACGGATGATCATGTATTTGATCTCATCTGGAGGACTGTCTGGATCCTCCACTTTCAGGATTTCAGGTCCCACAACCAATCTACTGCCCTGCAGCACTTGCAATCGAAGTCCTTTCGTCTTTAATTCCGGTGCCTGGTCATTCACAGGAGTGATGGTGATGTTAAACAACTCTTCAAAGAAACCAGCCTCTGGCTTGGTGGCAGATTTGCTTTTTTTGTTTGGCCAAACAGCAAAGGTAAAACTATCAGCCAGTGATTCAGAGTTATCGTGAAGGTATGTCACCCCAAATTTATTAATGATGAACTGGGAGAAATTAGGTTTTTCTGTGGTAACATTTCTTTCTCCAACCATAATGGTTCCATGGTGAGGAAGAGACGTAACCTGGAACCAAACTTCATAGGAAGAGCGCTGAGATTTGGGTAATTTAAATAAGAGATTGGAAGCATCTAACTTAGATGGGTCAATTAGAACTTTGTCTCCCTCCTTGACAGTAGCTCCTGGTAAAACACAAACATGAAGAACAAGTGGCATTTCATTAGAACTTTCGGATGACAGTTTCCGTAACGCTTTCTCTCTCACATCTGTGCCTCCTAGGGGATTCTTCTAAGGGCTGCAGTTGCTCAACTACCTAAATTAGCATTGCTACCCACAGCATATGAAAAAAACATTAAATACAAACACATACACAATTAAGTCAACATTTCAGGCAAGTGCACTTTAAAACCTTCACATTCACTTGTAATTTAATTTCCTAATTTAGCTATTTCTAGACTTTCTCTTCCCATGAAAACATGTGCAACTTTCAATACTGTTTTCCTTTCAAGAACTTACCCTATTTGTCATTTTCATTTTCTATTACGAATGATCAGTTGTAGGCATGATGAAGTACCCATTTGGAGATATAAAGAAAATTCTTTAAACCCAACTTACAATTCTTTTCCCAACACAACCATTAAACTTACAAGAGGAAAGAGAAAAGGCCCAGAAAAAGAGGGCATGCAAATAACAGTTCCTTATAACTGTTCAGTTTCATTTCAGCGGTTATCATGGCATTAACAAAAAGGGAAGGATTTACTTCCAAATAGTCCCTACTTTAATATAGATAAAGCACTCACCACTTCTTAGTAGCATTACCTGTATTTGCAAGCAGATGGCTGTGCCGACCAGGCTCATTAATTTCATATGAAATGGTAATAGAGAACTCCTCAGGGCCTAGAACTGCTGCAGGCGGAGAGGATGCCGTGAATGTAAAAGAGTCTTCCACAGTCCAGGCAGCGTTCTCATGATCTATATGCTGGTACAGTATCAACCCTTCACTGACCTGGCCAGAAAGTAAGAAAAATTAGTCCCTGATTTCTAAAATGATACAAAGATTAAAATGGATCCCAACCATTTCCATTCCCTTTGTGACCGGGTGAACTGCACCAGAGGGCTCAGAGAACGGCCCCTCCCCTCGCTGCTACCACAGCCGAGGTGAGCTGCTGGGGAAGGCCCAGAGACCAGCGGGAGTGCAGAGACACAGTAGGGTCCCAGCTAGGGCGCACAGGATGGACAGGCTAGACTAGTGGCATGAAAGGTCCGAAGCAACAATAACAACAGGAGCCAAAAGGGGGTAAGTTAGTGAACCAGCGATGTGCTTGGAGAAGGAGACACACGAAACAGAAGCAGGCAGGTGGGGCTGGCCCTGTTTTCTTTTTGTTGTTTTTTGTTTGTGTTTTCTTTTCTTTTCTTTCTTTTTTCCTTTTTCTTTTCTCTCTCATTTTTTTCTCTTTTCTAAATGGCTGAAGAGAGCCCCAGTCACAGAAAACTAATCCCAGCCCCCAAACCCAGAGGCCAAGTTCAGACAATCCCTTGCTTACTCCTCCTCACTCTTTCTCTTCTGTCCTCTCTTCTAGTTTCCCAAAGTGTGCGTGATCATTCTTTCCTCCAGCCTTGCATCTCCTTTCTTTTGTTATCTTTGTTTTAGCCACTATCCTTCTTAAATCTTCCCACCACAGGGGAAACCACTCTACCAAGGGGAAACACTTTGAATACAAGCTCCCAATTTATGATTGGTTGTTATATAATTGCAGATTCTGCTCCTGTGGTTTAAGGTACAAAATTAATAGCTACCACAGTGTCAGTTTCTAAACGGTGTTTGATGATATTGTTATTGCTAATTATACTACTTTAACAAAGATGCTGTATCTGTTGTAGCCAGTTGTTCTCCCTTCCGTAACAATACTGGGAAACTCTGGGGTAATAACCTCACCACAGCACAGCATCAAAAACCTGGGAACTGAGCCAAACAGATACCAACATCTCACTCTTAATTAACTGGGAAGGTAGGATCTTAAAGCAGAAACAAGCCAAGAACCTCCTGCACCCAGAAGACCTCCCTGAGGAACAGACTTTTCCTAGCAAGGACTTGATACTAGGGATAAAACTATCTACAACAAAAACTTAGAAGGATCAACACAGAAAACAAAACAAAATATTTTGAAATAGAAAATGACAAGACACAGAAGCAAGGTGCAATCTCAGACCTCCAGCCCACTCTGAAAAAGTCCAGGAGACAACAAGCTAGAAGAAAATGGAAGACACACACCTGAAGTTTCTGAAGTGATAGCAACTGAAGTAAAGAAACAAATCTATGAGGTGATACAGGAAATCAGATCAGAAATAACCACTCAGGTAAAACAGATCCTAACTAGAGGAGATACACGTCTTTCCGGGGTTTACTTTACTCATGCTTAAATTATTACACATATTCACAAATGCAGAAATGTTAAAAGCAGGGCAGGTTATTTTTCAAAGTTAGGTGATTCTATTTAAAAAATGATCTATTCACTAAAGAAAAGCACACTGATTTTCAGAAGACTAATTTGTATTACACAAAAGTGTATAATTAACCTCAGCTTCCTTGTCAGACAGTTCCAACATTTAACAACTCATAATCAGTCTTGTTTCATGAGTATCTCTATGGACTTTTCTGCCAACAGATTATTTTGAATCAAATTATAGACATATCATTTCATCTGTCAATGCTTTATAAGTACTGGAAAAAGAAGACTTTTTTTAGTTTTAAAGACAATTTTTGCATTTTTTGTAGTCTTTCTACATTAAAAAGAATCCTGTTGTTTGGGCAAGCAAGATTTTAGGAAGTCTACAAACCACATTTAGTAGTTATTACAGCTTTTTTTCATGTGTGGATTTGCTTAATTTTTTTCTTGCAGTTTATTGGTTGAGGAAATTGGGTTGTCTTGCAGTGTTTCCTACATTTTGGATCTTGCTGATTGCATCTTTATGATGTTAACATGTCCCTCTTTTCTCATGTTTCCTATATAATGTAATTAAATTTAGATGCTTAAGTAAGAATTAAGTTCCATTTTTGGATATGAATATTTTACAAGTTGTATTAAATAATTCCTTTTTTACTTCTTGTAAGGCACATTAATATGTGGCTAACTCCCTTAGGACATGTTAAGGTTGTAGGTGGTTTTCAGTATGGGGTAATCCATCTGTTGAAAGGTTTCCCATCAGCATCACTCAATAGCTTAACAGACTCATAGATACTATTGCCTTGATCCACTGTTGCAATGACAAAACATTAACACTATTTCTGCTACCATTGCTTCTTCATTTATTATGTCAGCCCTCTACAAGGAAGAACTTTCATTCATCAGCTATCTGGCTACAAAAAGGAATAAGAGGGATAGGAGAAATACTTGATTGTTTATTTGGAATCACTACAAACTTATAAATGTTAATATATATTTTATTCTATAACAATTATTATTCTCACTGATATTTAAATTGTCCCACCTTGCCTAGTGTGTTTTTTAAATATTTAACTTGTCTTTAATATCTGTGACTTGTCAAGGTCCTTCCTAGCACAACTAATGGGAATGGGTTCTCTCCAGCGTTTTGTTATCCAGACACCACATGTGTAGTCATTTATCAAACATCAGTGACTCAAAATGCAAAACTATACCAGAGAAGGGAGGGCCGCTAAAAACACACAACCCTGACTTCCTAAGAGTCACACATTTTCTCACCTGCTATCTATTATAATGCTCTGAACTTGTGTGGGTTTTGTTAAGGTATCCTAAGTATCCAGTTCAAAATTGCCCGGAACAAATTATCATATAATTTACAGAGCTGTTGAGTCTACTAATCAGTCAACATTTAGAAATACTGTATTAATTAGCAGAAGTTGGCATTTCTGGGTAAGGATTGCTGGCTCAATGATGGTTCCATGACTGTGTCTTTAAACAGAGGTCTGAAAAACTTTTGGTCTAGGGAGTTTCTGTGGAAGATAAGCACCATGTCCCACAGTGTTCAACAACAGCTGGTAAGGAGATTTTGCTCCTTAGACCACTGAAGGATGAGACAAAGAAATGCTTTCATTTGGGGATTTCAAATGGGGAGAAGAAAATGTCATTGCTCAATATTTCCTTAGAAAGAAACAAGATTAGGAGAAATTAGATTACTTGGGTTAAAGGTAATCCAATTTGGGTTGGAAATTGGATTATCTTCTTCACAGATGGGAATTTCTGGTACTAACTAGATACTCAATTTCCCTGCAGTTCTGAGAAAATAAGTCTGTTTCATTCCACAGCCATACTATTTCTATTCCCATTTTCTGATTTATCAAAAAAGATTAATGATCAATGTATTTTTCCTCCCAGAAACAGGTGATGTGCCATGGGTTTTGAACCAAGGGATGGATCCTACCAAGTTCCTATCCTGCTTAAGGAAGACATGTAATTACACAGAAATTGTTTCTCAATATGAAAACCAACACAATCTATTAACAAGCAAGCAAAGTTTTCTTAGAAATTGGTCATTCTTGTCTATTGGCTCTTTGGTATAAGTGAAAATTAGCTTCCTGTATCTATCAGAAGTTATTTAAATAATGTAAGTATCTTCTAATATTAACTGTATGAAGAGTGATTGCTGCAGGGAATAAGTGGTGCTCATAAATAAGGACAGTGGAGACAAAAGTCACAAATCTTCCAAGGGAAGGACCTGAGGAGGAGGGCTAAACGTAGTTTTGTACTTTGGGAGCCTAATGGAGGAAACATCTTTTATAAATTCTATTACTGAAAAGGCATTTTTTTCAAGAGTAAAAAGCTCAGTTCGAATAACGAATTGACACTCTACATTACAGAGTGAGAGAGAAAATGAAATTCCATAAATCTTGAGTATCTGAATTTGAGGACTGGGTAGGTTACTGAAAGTGCTGTTAGAAGTAAAAGAACATACGAGTTCCTGTGGGATGCCAACTTGCCAGTTACACCCTGAAAGCAGTTTGCAGGGAAATAGAGTTTTTAATATTTAGAAGAGTTTCAGCCTCTTTAGCTTTTTTTTTTTTCTTTTTTTGAGGGGTTACTGGACTCAAACTCAGGACCTTGCATTTGCCAGGCTGATGCTGTACTCCTGAGCTGTATCCCCAGCCCTCTGCGCTATATCTCCGGACCCTGTTTAGCTTTAAAAGCCAGGTTCTAAGGTATGTGAGTGAGACAGAGATAGTATATATGTGTGCATGGCTGTATGTGCTGGGAGAAGGACTGGAAAGGGAGAATGAGACCAGAACTTCATGAGACAAAGTATGGAGTGAACCTGAGGAGAAAAGATCTCAGAAGTGGCTAGGAATTTTGTGGCCTCAAATAGAAAACGGCTTTAGGAAGAGCTTCCAATAGCTCCACAAAATTTCACTGTATTACATATGGATAGATTAGCCACTTAGCTGGATAAACACACTCTGAGATTAAGGAAAGGGGGAAGGGAACGTTTCTATTTCTTATAGATTTATATTAGTCCAGATATTTTTTCTTTTACAAGAGTCTTTCTGGAAGGCCATTAAAAAACTAATGGTGTAGAATTCCAACTAATAAGCATCGCAGGAAAAACACAATGAGAAAAGCTACCACTTGGAAAGTATTATAGCCACAGCATTTCAGGTAAGAATCCTACAGTTGTTGCTTGAACTAGGGCTACAGTGCAGTGGGAACAGAATATTTTAATGGTTACAAAGTATCTCCTCACAAAATACTTACTACTCACAAAGGAGGGGTGAAACAGTAGAGCATATTCCCAGCAGAGAAACCCCTTTGTGGGAATGGGGAAGATGCATTTCAGAAACTGAGTTCCTAAAGAGTGATACTCAGAAAGAGCTAGTTAGAAATGGGTAATTGAATACCTGGTCCAAGTAATTATCCACAAGTTGAGGTTCATGCCATCCATGATTGGAGGAGTCTCTGCAGAAACCTACTAGAAAAAAAATCTTTTCAAGAAGCTCAGCAGTATATCCATCTACTGCCTTGCTTAGCAGGGAGG